TATATATGATTACGACTGTAATAGTATAGCATTTCCACACATACACGTCCTAAGGTGTGCAAATGCCGTATGTGACTAAATATCAAACAAAGCTGTATCCAAAGCACAAGTGAAATCTGAAGAGATATACTGTTAACGAAATCAAATTTCGTGGGGCACGAGACGAACGTAAGTGTGCGAAAGCACACAATATATATGTATAGCAAACGAGAACCTATGTTCACTAATACATTGGCAAATGTTCGACAAGCTTATGTAAAATTAGTTTCTATAAACGTATAATATGGGTACATGAAATGGTAATATGAGCTCGCGGTTCGAGTTAATATAGGAGAGCTATATAATCCCCCAACAGAACACTGAAGTATGAAATAATACATTTTAGTATTCAAAAAGAATATGCTTTTGCGTAATACACAGCAGGCATAATACATAAAATACGCGATTTAATCCGGAGTTTTGAAAGAATTTATGGATAGTTAATAATTTTAATAATGAATGCACTGAGGACAGTAGAATCGAGAATTATGATAGAAAATATGCGAAATGATAAAAAATTATCTGGCGATCGGTAGTCGTTGTGTGAATGGTAAGAGTTCGGATACGTCTGCTAGTGGAAATGCTACTGGCCAACGAGTGAATCTATCGATTCAAGTGAAATTGTAGCTGAAACCACTAGAAGGAGGCAGTAGACCAACGACATCTATATGTATGTCGTCAAATCATGAGTCGGGGTTAGGAAAACAACCAAGCGGCGCATTGGTGTGACGATGAATCTTGACTCTTTGACAAAACAAACAAATTTGCGTCTTCGTTTGGCTATATAAATCTTTCCTTCAGCAGCCTGGTAGTAACACTAACTCCTGGATGTAAGAGATTAGGCAGTTTCTCAAAAGTTGTGCGTCTCATAGCTGCTTCAACGAAAGATCGACAACAACTGGTAGATGTATCAAAAATTACTTTCGTTGTGTCAGAACAAATTTCGGTAAGTTCTAAGAATGTCATTTTAGAATCTGTAGTTCAGAATCAGCTCCTTGTAATGTTGCAACACGTTCGTATTCGATATCGGGACATACAAATTTATCTAGGTAAATTGACGAGACCCAAAAATCGCCACAATTTCCTATAATAGTTGCGCGTTGGATAATCTTCAATAGCTTGTGCATCACCAGAGACTGACTCGATTCCTTAGCTGTCTACCAAATGCCTGTGGAATGTGAATGAAGTCCACTCTTATCTAAGTTGATAATAATAATGTATATTTTCATATAAACATAAATTTAAGTGAAAATGCATGCCAATTTTACAGGCACGATCAAGTCTGATATAATGTCAAATAGTAGATTGTCTACAAGTTAATAATGTTTGAGCAGCTAAATATTTGAAATATATACGTACATACACAATTGTCTGTCCCAGGCCGTATGATTATTGAATTGCACAGTAGTCCTCCAGGTTGCGCGTGAAAATCTACTTCGTTTCGATGGTCATCCCATATTGGGGAAGTCATTTAAATGCAGTCTTCATATTTCTCGAATAATCTGCCTGATCTGCACTTGCAATGGCCAATTCGTGGATGTGTCCATAGACGAAGGGGAGACCAAGGAATCTCTGATCGATAAGTGTTCAGATATCTGGATGGCTTTCATTATTCAAACAAGGCATGCATACGAATTCATATTAGCTGAGTGGAGAGTATCTATTGGATGCCGTTTGTTTGTTTAAAGCTCTGTAATCACCATACCGTTGCATTTCACCAGATATCTTAGAAGCCATGTGAAGTGGTGAGGACTAAAAATTATTGGATAGTCGGATGGTGTCAAGTTCTACCATTCTAGCAAGGGGAATACTAACTTCTGAATCAGGTATCGGGTTTTTCTAATGACATCTGGAATGTGAAGTGAGTTGCCATTGCGAGTGGCTTCGACTGCCGCTGGTACAATGGTTCCACACAGTCTTTGTATTCTTCCCAAAAACTGTAGGGTTTTCAGTCACCATCAGCTTCTTGTCCACAGATATTGTGATACCGATACCAGTGTGTGTTCTTAGCTGAATATGGTTCAAATTTTAGGTTACCTCATGACTCGCTACCTTGGGATGAATTGCTAAAGCAGTTTACAGACGCTCTGGAGCTAGTCGACCTAAGAAGCCACTTGCCAGAGTTGTTTAACTCTCTCGTTTTGGGTTTAACGTTAGGAACCGAGTACCGACGTGGAAAAATTTGGCTACCAGCAGCCGTAATTTTTCTAGAAATTTACCAGTCTAAATATCCAGGTCGTGGGTGGGAATTCTGTGAAGTTCCATGAACAAAGCTTGTACATGCTGTGCTAGCTGACGTGGAAACAAATCTCCAAAGAGTCTCGTGTCGAATTCACATTGACTTGTAACTTATTGAAACCACGTGTATAGATGAATCATTCCCTGACTAGACATTGTTTAAGACTTCGTCAGATGGTTGTTGACTGGAGAGGTCGTTATTATTTAGAATTGCCGCCGTAAGGACCTCGAAGGTTTTATTAACTTCCGGATTCAACTTGTATGTGGTAAGGTGCTTGCTCGTTCACCGATACACAACACACATAAACTCCTTGGGGTGGTGAGTGTGAGCCAATTATCTCATTTTGAGGGGAGTTAGCTTCAGCTTACCGCCAAAAGTTACCGCATTTTCTGGCCATAAGGGTAGGAGTTAAATAAGAATGGCGGCCGGCCTAATGACCATTAGTCTGGGCGTCTGATCACACATAATATAAGGAGTCTGTACTAAAACAACAAAGATAACAAAATATTATTATTGTATCCTTCAATTCCAAGAGGAACATAGGGATTCAGCCGTGCGTATCCATTGCGTTCGGTTCTCTCCTACAGTCTTCACCTGGCTCCAAGTCTGCCCACACGCTTTCATCTCCTCTTCACATCACCTCCTCCAAGTCACCCACCCTCTCACTGACGACTAACTCGCCGCTTCCTTTTCAGTCGGGTTCCGCCCGAGCAATGGCTTGTCTAGTCATGTCACTTGATGCATTGTATCCTCAGAGTATGGCCAGCCAATCCATCTCCATTTATTCCTGCCTGCCTATTTGTTTCACAATCGGTTCCTACTGGGTTGGTTCGCTCATTGCCAGAGATCCCTCCCTGTTGCTGATCTTTTCTGGCCGGTGATGTCACTCACTTGATGGTTTGTTTCCTCAGAGTATGGCCAGCCAATCCATCTCCATTTCTTCCTGCACATTTGTTGCACAATCAGATCCTGGTTAGTTGGTTCGCTCTCAGCGGTCTCTATTGCTGATCTTTTCTGGCCGGCCATCTGATTTTGAGCGGAGTATTGAGCGAAGACAACTGTTAATGAAGGTCTGTAGTTTGTTTGAGATGCTCTTCATGACGCGCAGCGCAAGTCTCTGATCCACCCGTATAGTGAGTAGCACTGACTTCGCATTGGAGTTGAAAATCCAGATCTTACCTTCGTTTTCATGCAGAGTGCTGTTGCTTTTCTCCACACAGACTTGAGAATAATGAAAGCTTGTCTTGCTTTTCCGATTCCTGCTTTGATATCCTCGTCGGTTCCGTCTTCCTGTAGTTGAGACGATGCTTCCCAGGTAGGTAAAAAAGGTTGTTTCTTTCAGGTTCCTCCCATTTATGCTGATTATTGTCTGTTGTTGTTGTTGCTGTTGATGGTGTTGGCCAGGAATCTTCATCACCTCTGTTTTCTCTATGTTCACCTGAAGTCCTATCTTCCCTAGATGCTTATTCTGCCAACTTGTTGCTTTTCACTTGCATATCTTCCAGTTTGTGGGAAAACAGACATATATCATCGGCGAAGTCCAGATCCTCCAAGTTGGTTTTTGTGTGAGTCCATTTTATGCCTGTTTCCTCATTGCCCACTGTTTGTCGCATTATGCAATCTACTGCAATCAGGAAAATCATTGGCGATAGTAGGCAGCCAGCTTGTCTTACTCCTGTCCTCACTTCGAAGGGTTCCGTAAGTTTCCCGTTGTGGATTACTTGGCATGCAGCATTGTCGTACAGCTGTTGGATCAGATGTATAATTGTCGGTGGCACCCCTTAGTAGTAGCGAATTAGTTTCCAAATCACCTCTCGATCGACGCTGTCGAAGGACTTTTCAAAGTCGGTGAAGTTGAGTGAGATAGAGAGGTGACTGCCATTCCAACCTTTGTTCAATGATGATCCGTAATGTGGCGATCTGATCAATGCATGACTTGTTTCTCCTGAGTCCAGCCTGTTCCGGTCGAAGTTTTTCATCCAAGGTGGCATGTTTGATTCTCTTCAAGATGATGTGACTTAGTATTTTGCTTGGGATGGACAGGAGCATAATTCCGCGCCAGTTCTTGCATTGACTTGAGTCTCCTGTCTTTGGTAGTTTGAATAAGTATCCTTTCTTTCAATCTTCGGGTACTTTGCCTTCTTTCCACACCTTCTCCAGTGGTGACGTCATCAAGTCCGCTGTGGTCTCAGGGTCCATTTTCAACGCTTCTGCTGGGATTCCATCTGGTCCTGCTGCTTTTCCAGCTTTTATCATCTTGATTGCCTTCAAGACTTCTGATTTCGTCGAGGGGTTGGTGTTCACTGGTAGCTCTGTCTCCGTTGTTGGAATTGTTGGGCGAGTTGTCGGTGGTGGTAGATTTAGGAGTATTTTGAAGTTTTAAAAAGTGGAACGAACTCACTGGAATAGAGTGAAATTTGTTTGTTCACGTGTTTAGGTGGTGAAGTTTGTATAAGGCATCATCATACAGGCAATGAATGGATGCCAATGGATACACAGGATAGGCTGCATATAAACTCAAGTGCCAATGTCACTGGTAAAATCAATTATTCTGTGAATAACTAATTTGTAATTATCATAGATTGAAAAGGCATAGAGTTCCATCCACCTATTGGACATATTTAAATCCAGCATTGGTGAGTATACCTAAAGTTTTCACTTTTTAATCGCAGCGTATGATCTTTCTTTCTGTGCACTAAACATCATTTACTTTCAGGCGGCATTTCAATATCGATTTTGGATCGCGCCTTTTTCGAAAATATTTCTAATGGGTTGTGCTGAAAGTACAGAAAGACGAGCCGCTGAAGCTCGCTCCCGAGATATTGATAAAACTTTAAGAGCTGATGGTGAGGCAGCAGGCAGAGAGGCAAAACTCTTGCTTCTTGGAGCAGGGGAGTCAGGGAAGAGCACCATCGTTAAGCAAATGAAGTATGTTGCAATGTTTTCTTATCCGCAGAATTATCCATATGTCGGGTTATTCTGAAGAAGAATGCAAGAAGTATAAGCCTGTTGTATTCAGCAATACTATACAAAGTATGGTTGCTATCCTGAGAGCAATGGAACAGTTACAGATAGGCTGTGCATGTCCAAACGCAGTGGTATTGATTTAAATGTCTTAAAAACTGATTTTTAGAATGATATTACTACTATTTTGAATCTTGCACGAACAGATATAGATGTCCTCCCTGATGAGGTGTCCAGTGCCTTGAAGAGGTTATGGTATGATCCGGGTGTTCAAGCAGCTGTGAGTAGATCGCGTGAATTTCAACTGAATGATTCTGCATCATAGTAAGACAATTTGCAATTCTGGCTTATACTTAAGTTTCCTTGATTCTTTGGATAGGCTGTCAAGTCCAGGATATATTCCTACACAGCAGGACGTTCTTCGTACAAGAGTTAGGACGGGTGGAATTGTAGAAACACACTTTACTTTTAAAGGATTGAATATAAAGTAATGTCAGTAACAACAATCCTACTATTCATTTTAGAATGTTTGATGTTGGAGGTCAGCGTTCTGAAAGAAAGAAGTGGATTCATTGTTTTGAAGGTGTAACAGCAATCATTTTTGTGGTTGCTATAAGTGAATACGATTTAACTCTTGCTGAGGACCAAGAAATGGTAAATACTCTTAACGTTAAATTGTTAAAATCTTTTAACTCGTATACATTAATTTTTGTATTTCGTATATAAGCCTTCAAACCTTATGAAAAAACCCGTATAGTACACTCTGTGTGCATATATATATATATATATATATATATATATATATATATATATATACCTACTTCCATTTGATGTAAGGATTGTTAGGTTCTGTACAAAACCTTCAAAGGTTTTTAAAAAGTCCCCCTATTACGATCAAATGTTCAGTTAGCAAGCGATGTTTATCAAACCAGGTAGATATCTTCAAGGGGAGAGACTGGCAATAATCACAGTGAAAATGTAAGTTACTAGATACACTGTTGTCATAATCTACAGTAGTGGAGATTCTTCTAATAAATATTTCTGTTTTAGGAAATGTAATGCTGAATGCTTATTATGGTATTAAAGTATTCTGGTTTGTCTACTAATTATATCGCAGCAAATATTTTCATCATTGTTTTTTCGTGGTTACTTAGGTGACTGAGAAGCTTTAAAACATGGTTAGACACTAAAGATTATGTGGAACATTCAGGTAACGGTTGTATAACTAACCTTAAAACTAAATTAGCTGGATCAAAAGAGATTGATATTGGCATTTTCGTTTGCTGGATTAGCAACTAATACTTGCAATAGGAATGAGTTATCGCCCTTTTTCCTATATCTAATAGTTGCACAACTAAGATCACTTCGAGGATGTAATGTAGTTACCTGAATATAAATATACGGAGTAAATTTCGTGCAATATATTACTCTGTAAATAATACAGGTTTACTGTACAATATTAATGACAGAGATTGATTTGAAAATGTTCAGCTAGCTGTATTTTACTGTTGAAGTGATTTCCGTGGACAAATAATATGCATATAGTGTGTCTGATTCATGATTCATTGTATGTTTATTGACTCATTTGCTTGTATTACTAGTATGTTCGTACTCAGATTCCTGTGCTAATTGGAGAAGTTGTATGGTCATTGGTTCTTCAAGTATTCAGATAGATTTGTTCTATGGTTTATTGCAAAAACTAGTTAGTTGGTTTGTACTGATCTAGTAAAATGGCTGGACTCAACATAGAACTTGGCACCGAAGTGCACCAGTTCGAGTTGCCACGTTCCAAATAGCACACAAAGGTAGACAAGAAAATGAGTGAAGAGAATCAATATAAGTATAAGAGTGAAACAGAATGAGTAATGGTAGAAAGGAATATGAGACTGAATATTACAGAGACTGAATACATCTGCGTAAGCCATTGACAACGATTTTGAGCCATGTCACCTATTGTCTGTCTCAAGCCATTGATTCTTAGAGCCCCTAGGGCCCCAACCAACCCGGAAGTCTGCATCTCTCTACCTGACTCAGTTTAACTGTCAAGGATTTCATGGATTGATTGATGCGATGTTTTTCTTTGGCCACCACTTACTCTTTTCCAACCTGCACCTATATCAGCTAGTAATGCCCGTCGGGTTGGGGGAGGCGATGGTTAGGCATGCGCAGCACGATCTAGTAAAATAATCTCAATAATGTCGTTTAGTATCTCTATACATGTCTACTTCAACATAGCTTCCATAGATATAAACGAAGATAGCGATCAGTAGAATGGTCGTAAAACAGTTAATTGTAACAAACATAGTGGAGTATCAAACTGGAAATCCAACAAACTTTATGAATTCATATAATATGAGAGCTACTCTAACTAATAGTCTTGAAATCACTTTTTGTTTATGGTTGCTGCTCTTTGCATTTATAGATAATTAGTAGTAGTTATCCACTGTAAAACTAAAAGGATTATCAGTATCAGTAGCATATCGAGTTCTGTAAGTATTGATCACATACCACTGCAAAATTATTAATAGTCTTAAGTGCCTGCCTGAAGGATTTTAGACATTTTTTATGTAAATGATTATTTCCCCAAAAGGGATTATATCTTACTTCTATCGTGATCGTAATATGAGACAATGATATGTTTTAGTGAATACTCACAGCTAAGGTTACAGCTATTCCTGCATCTACTTATCAGCTAATAGGCTTTTACCACCAACCTAAATGTCATTTCCAATGTCCTTTATATATATTATTCATTTTAATGTTTTTCTCTTGCCTTTATTTTGTTCACATAGTCTGGTCATATTTTCATTTAGTGTTTTTCTTCACTAGCTGTACGTCAGTTTACTAGTTTATTTTGTTAATACACAACAACAATCACTTGAATTTCCATGTATTCTTCAGTGAGTCACACTTATTGTAGGTGCTAGTGATACTAACTGATTGCTGAAAACTTACTAAGTGAAACTGAGTTTGAACGGGTGGTCTAGTGGTTGAAGGTTGAGTGCCTAGACTAACCCACTGGCACCTCCTACAAAGATTATACGATTTCCCTAAAACAAATACACCTGAAGTGCCGTTAAAAGCAGTTTATAAACATGATGAATTCACCCTACCATGGTTTAGCTCTATGGTTAGTAATTATTCCAAAACCTTTGTATGCATAGCTAATAAAATATATTATGCGAAAGATGTGTTTAAATTCATAAACAGAATTAAGAGTATCACAATTATAAATGAAACTATTATAGTTTTGGGCCTAGCATCTTTGTATACGTCTGACAGAAACGGTTACTTACAATATATGTGAACTAATAAATAATAAGTCAGTAAATACTGGGAAAACCCTAGAGAATTAATATTAAAGTGTAACATGAATGTAAATCTTAAATTTGATGACGAAACCTACAGACATTTGAATGGGAGTGTGATGGGCTTCCCATGGGGTCCCACGTTAGATTTCAAAGTAAACTTAAAGATGGTCTTTTAAACCCTGTTATCAAGTGATTTTCTTTTGCAAGTTTGACGACGGATAGATATCAGTTAGAGAACCATTGAAAACCAGGAATTACTCTAATTGATATTAATCCGTAGTTAGACACGTGAAAACAAATCTAAGCCTTAAAAATTAGTCTGATGCTCGCTAGTGACTCGCTACAGGACGGAGTTTCCTGGAGTTCTAGTGAGAAGTCGTGACCAGTGAGGTTCATCCAGTCATGTGTGAGGATGGATGTCCTACCGATAACATTGGTTGGTGGTCGCACTAAATCACGAATTGGTTGAAGTTAGAATTCATGGACTGGCCATTGAGTCGGATCCCAGTGGCTGAATGGTACATGAGCTTGCTTGTAACCGGAATGTCCTGGGTTCGAAACCCATTGGGTGCATACTGCCGATGATCCCCAAACTAGGATGAAACAGTTGTCCAGTACTCTCTGGTTTTCAATGGTTCTCTAACTGATATCAATCCGTGGTTAGACACGTGAAAACAAATCTAATCCTCACAAACCAACTCTTACAAATTCTCTTTCTGTTGCCGATATATGGATGATACGTTCATCCTTTGTGTAATTAATTACACAGATGCTATCTAATTTCAAAGTCAAATTGCCTCCTTAAATGTCCCTCTAACACGAAGACCAGATGAAAGTATAAGAAGAAATTTGCATAAGAAAAGTACGCGGACAGGACAAAATACACTTTCATAGTTTTGTTCTTCTACAGTATAAAAGAAATTCGGTAAGGACTTTCAGCTGCAGAGTCAGAGCTACATTTTCAGAAAATGTGATTGAAGTTGAGCTTGAGATTGTAATGACACCTTAAGAAAATCGAAAAAAAACTCCTCTATACCTGTAAACAAGAAGCGTCTGCATACGCGATTGTAGTTCAAAAGTGATATACCAAGTGAATTAATAACCAACAAGTTAAGAAAGTAGATTCAAAGATCTTCTATTGCAAATTACATTTTCCACATGACTGGTTATGATTCCAAAACTGTAAGACGAATTACCTATACTAGGCACCTCTATTTATATCTATCAGTTCATATGGTCCAGTGGAGCCAGTTGTATAGGCCAGTGCTCTAGAAACTTAGTATTTCGTGCTCGGGAACACTTACCATTGTCCAAATATAGGTATAGTAAAAACTTTTAACAGTCCCAAATTACATCACCTTGCCCTAAACAGTCCATATCATCTATTGGGTACCGAATAAATTACTAAAAGGCTATCGCTCTGTGTGCAAAAGGAACAGGTCCAGCCACTGTTGGTATGCTGGCCTGCAGTGGGACCTATAAATTATATTATTTTCTTAATTTACCTAATATTCAGTTTAGTGCTTTATTGATTCATATTACCACTTATAAATGCTTTCGAACTGTGGTCTGTTAACATTGATTGATTTAATGTTATTAAAAAGTTTGACATTGGTATAATAAGGTGAGCAATATTGAGGTTAGGCATCGGTCGAGTGCTAGGTAAGGAGGGGAAATCAGTCGACGAGACTGTGAAATTATTTCGGCTGAGATGGTTAGGACATGCGTTACGTATGCCTAGTCATCGCCTTCCTCGACAATGGGTAATGTTAGCTGATATAGGGTCAGGCTGGAAAAGAGCTAGCGGTGGTCAAACCAAAACATGGCACCAGTCAATGAAATCTACAACAGTTGGTCTAAGCCAGCCACGTAGGAAGGTGTACACTTCCCGACTGTTTGAGGTCGTCGGGACGGTAAAAACCAATGGTTGGAAACAATTGGTGACATGGTTCAAAATCGTTCTCAATTGTTAGGGTAGATGCATCCACTCCTTGTGACTTATGATTTCCAATGAAACTGTTTTGTTCTTCGTTATTACTATTCCTTTGTCTCACACCTCTGTTTACTGTCTCTAATATGCATTTCTCCTACTTTCTTCTCTTGCTTTGTGTGCTACAAGGGGGGAGTGTGGCGACTTGAACTGCCGCACATGTGCAAAGTTCTATGTCGAAAGCCGACTGACCGACCGAATAATTCTTCAATTACTATGTATATAAATGTAGAACCTGGTGAAGAAGATATTGAAAAGAATATTCTCTGTCCACCAATAGATCTTTATATAAAATAATGCTATCAGTGATAGTAAAATTAGGACAGTGAGAAATTGTAGTCTCAGGTTTTTTTATCAAGTCTATCGTTTTTAAGAAACAGATGCACTGGCAAAGTATGCAGATAAATTAAATGCTCACTATTTTTCATGTAATTATTCTCTATTCCGTTTATCACAGTCTCTCATTTTTGCCACCTTTATGTGTTCTTAATGAAGTGTGGTAGCTTGAACTGCTACTGCAGTTAAGTACAAAGTTCTGCGTTGAAATTTTAGTTCAATTTATGCAAGAAATCGTAATCAGACACTTAGAAATGAAAAGGTTTTTCTTACAACTTTGATTCGGTAAAGGTGTAGTTAGTAAATTTCTACACCAGTGGTTTCTAGAAGGTATAAAAAACCCAGCTTATACTTAACATTTCCTAACCTAACTGCCTAGCGCTTTTGTACTTATGGAGAAGTCTAATAAAATCAATAACCATTTCAACCCTGTGACCATCACACACAAACATGATCAATATGAAATTAATATATCGCATTCCACTTGACCTTTTGAGTGAAATTTTAACTGTGGGGATTAGAAAACAGTGTTGTTGTTTTTTTCTTTTCGGGTTAGTGAATTTGCCACTTTTCCTGTTATTATTATTATTATTATTATTATTATTATTATTATTGATATTAATTATCATTAATTCGGGCTCTCAGCGGAACATATGGATTTAGCAGCACATCTCCATTCCACCCTGTTCTTTTCTGTCTTTTTTAGCCGGCTCCACGATTTCCCATAAGCTCCCATATTCTCATACTATCTCCTCCATGTTAAACTGGAAACCATGACTGACTGGTTTTTTTCCATTCGGGTTCCACTCTAGGCCATGTCCCTTCGTATATTTGGTATGCGATTCGCCCCTGTAAAATGTAAGATGCTGCTACAGCACTGGACTACGTCAACTACCAGTTTAGTTATAGAGAGTGAAGTGATGGAGCATGTTGACCACTTCACCTATTTAGGAAGTTGTATCAGCACCAACGGATTGATTGGTGACGAAATCTCAGCACGGATTCCAAAAGCTCGGGCTGCTTTCGCTAACTTACACCATCTCTGGCGTAGGCGTGACATCCGCCTATCAACCAAGGGACGTGTGTACTGCTCAGCAGTTCGCTCCGTCCTTCTCTATGGCTCTGAAACATGGCCAATACGAGTTGAAGACATGAAAATGTTGACTGTTTTTGATCATAGATGTCTACGATCTCTTTCTCACGTTAGGAGGTGGTATAATAAGGTAAGTAATGTTGACGTTAGGCGTAGAGTGTTGGGCAAAGAGGGAAAATCAATCGAAGAGGCTATAAAGTTACATAGATTGAGATGGCTAGGTGACGTGCTGCGCATGCCTAACCATCGCCTCCCCCACCCCGACGGGCATTACTAGCTAGCTGATATAGGTGCAGGTTGGAAAAGAGTAAGTGGTGGCCAAACAAAAACATCGCATCAATCAATCCATGAAATCCTTGACAGTTAAACTGAGTCAAGTCAGGTAGGGAGATGCAGACTTCCGGGTTGGGGCCCGCCCTCGGGACTCTAAGAATCAATGGCTGGAGACAGACAATAGGTGACATGGCTCAAAATCGTTGTCAATGGCTTACGCAGATGTATTCAGTCTCTGTAATATTCAGTCTCATATTCCTTTCTACCATTAGTCATTCTGTTTCACTCTTATACTTGTCAAAACTCTATTGATTCTCTTCACTCATTTTCTTGTCTACCTTTGTGTGCTATTTGGAACGTGGCAACTCGAACTGCTGCACTTCGGTGCCAAGTTCTATGTTGAATCTAGACAGACAGACAGACCCTTATATTTTACTTGGTCAGATTTTCATTTGGTTTTATCCTCAGGATTACTCAACTTCCAGTGATTATGTGATTTCGATCCTACTTGATGGTTATATTGTCATGAATGCTGAACAAAGTAGAGTTTTGCATAAAAATTTCATCATATTAAGTTGCCAAGCTTTGGAAATGTATATGTCACCATTTTTTGCCCATAATTTTTATCCCTTCTTGTTCCAGTTATTTATCCTTTTTTTTCTCACGTTGATATACAAAAAGGTTGGCTGTGTTTGATCATAGATTTTTGCTTTCCATCTCCCTTTTTTAAGTGATAGAATATGGTAAGCAATATTAAAGTTAGGCGTAAAGTATTTATTTATTTTGATTTACAGTTTGATTCCACACCGTATTTTCAGTACAATTGTGGAATTTTCAGCATGGATATCGGTAGACCAAATTCAGGCCGACCATAGATATCGGGTGTGCGCCGGCAGGGGATCGAACCCCGGACCATGTGCATGGTCGGCGAGAGTCCTAACCACTGTGCCACCGACGCACAAGTCAGTCGATGAGGCTGTGAAATTATATCGGTTGAGATGACTGAGACACAAGCTGCGCATATTGAGTCATCGTCTTTCTCTGTGAACAGTGTTAGCTGATGTAGGACCAGGTTTTGAAAGAGTTAAGTGTTGTCAAATAAAAATCTGGCATCGATCCATGAAATCTTTGGCAATTAGTTTCAGCCAGCTACGCAGGGAGGTGTGAAATGCCTGTTTGGGGGCCTCGCGATGCCGGGAACCGATGCCAGAAGACTATCGTTGATATGGTTCGGTGGTGCAGATACACCTACTTTTTGTAGTCTTCCAGATTCATTAGTCCCTCATGTCTCTCCATATTACTATTCTTTCTCCCGAACATTTCTGTTTATTATGGTTCTTTTGAATATCTTCTTTTCTCTCTACCCTACCTTTGTGTGTTGAATGGAGTGTGACAACTTAAACTGCTGCAATTCTGTGCAAATTTTTCTCTGTTGAAACAGTCTATCAATCAAAGAAACGATTTTACAGTGAGCATTAATAAGTTTTGCGTTATTCTAGGGGATTTCAAGCTGTTGTGAGAGCTGGCTGTTAGCCAAAGTTGGTAGACAGTAATTGACGTCAATATTTATGTCCCCAATATTGGTGATGAGAAAATGAGAACAAAGGCTTTGCGTAGGCGGATACAGTTAGCATATGGATGATCTGACACAGCCGCAAAGAGATGCAAGGTTAACTTTCTGTGAGAAACAACCAATCAAAAGACTGTATTTTCTACTAACAATAATCTACAATAATGTACATTAAAATCTATAAATATGTGTTGATTTTCCTTAATAAACGTTCTGTTGCCTGAGTCTTGCCTTCTGTCGTTACAAAGCCATCTCAACATATTTCTGACTGTATCTTCGTAGCTGCTCACGCATGTCGGTGAAGCAAACTATATTGTTCCTATTAATATTTAAAAAACTTCATGGACAGGTGCTTTATGTACTGAACTTCCCGGATGTGAAATTTCACTCTTTACTGTTTTAACTGCGAGTCTGATTGTTGTTCAACAACAATAGTTGAGCGTATGTACACTTATTCTGTTTACTAGAAGGTAATTTTGTTGGTTCTACTCAACATTTTAAAAATTTATCTTGGCTGCAGACTCCAAAAATCCCTTGTGAACACCTAAGTTAAGGATTAAAGATCGTCTTAAATCCAGATTTTTAGCCGTACCTCTGGCGAAGGTTGCCACTGTTATAGAAACATCATCGTTCCCTTAGGTCAGTGCTTATCAATTACTTTTTATGGTACTCTTCAAGGACATGAATTTTTCACACTTCTTCCCCGCACGCACACACACGTTGCCTTGAAACTGGTGATGTTACCACAGGAATATGGTCGACTGACTGCAGCAGTTGATTCCCACTTAGTGGACCCCTTCTCCAATCTGGGCAACTGAGGAGTCTTATCAACCACCATAGGATAATTATGTCTCATAACTCTTTGAAGACGACTGGATTCCAAAAGACGACTAGCTGAGGCGGTGTTATTCAGATCCCGATCTTTAGTACCAATCATCCTTGTTTAATCTATCTTGTCTTTACTTTACATTTCAGAATCGAATGATGGAATCAATGAGGCTTTTTAGTTCAATATGCAACAACCAGTGGTTCAGGGAAACAAGCATCATTCTATTTTTGAATAAGCGAGATTTATTTGAAGATAAAATTATGAAATCTCCATTAACTATATGTTTTCCTGATTACACTGGTAAGTGTAATTTCATCTTTATCATTTAAATTATACTGTACTATATATATATATATATATATATATATATATATATATATATATATATATATATATATACTATCTCCCGCGTGAAGTGGTATAATAAGGTGAGCAATATCGAGGTTAGGCGTCGAGTGCTGGGTAAGGAGGGGAAATCAATAGACGAGACTGTGAAATTACATCGACTGAGATGGTTAGGACATGTGTTACGTATGCCTAGTCATCGCCTTCCTCGACAATGGGTAATGTTAGCTGATACAGGGTCAGGCTGGAAAAGAGCTAGCGGCGGTCAAACGAAAACATGGCACCAGTCAATGAAAGACACAATAGTTAGTCTAAGCCAGCCACGTAGGAAGGTGTAGACTGGCTTCCTGACTAGCTGGGGTCCTCGGGACGGTAAAAACCAATGGTTGGAAAAAATTGGTGACATGGCTCAAAATCGTTCTCAGTGGCGCAGATGCATCCACTCGTTGTGATTTATGATTTCCAATGAAACTGTTTTGTTCTTCGTTATTACTATTCCTTTGTCTCACACCTCTGTTTACTGTCTCTAATATGCATTTCTCCTACTTTCTTCTCTTGCTTTGTGTGCTACAAGGGGGGAGTGTGGCGACTTGAACTGCCGCACATGTGTGCAAAGTTCTATGTTGAAAACAGACATACTGTATATACTATGTGGTGTTCGTAAATTTTTTCCATAATACCTTTTCTTACTTTACTATTTTGTGCGTTTACAACCTGCTATTAAGACAAGTAAAGTGTGAAACTGAAAACAGTTGCAGCTACTAACGACTTTTCTACAAGTAGACCATGTCTTATGTTTATCGTTGCTGCTGCTCGCTGTCAACGCGTACTCACATTGATTGATAAGCATCAGATTGTCATGGTGTTACATATAGGAGGAGTCTAATCAAAAGCTTTTAAATAGTTCATACAATTATTCCCTTTCGTGACATTATTATTATTATGGTCTCCATTGCGTTCGGTTCTCTGCTAGAGTCTTCCTTCACTTGGCTCCAATTCTTCCCACACGTTTTAATCTCCTCTTCACATGACCTCCCACAAGTCACCCACCCTCGCACTGACGACCAACTCGCCACTTCCCTTTCAGTCGGGTTCCACTCGAGCAGTGGCTTGTCTAGTGATGTCACTTGATGGTTTGTTTTCTCAGAGCATGACCAGCCAATCCATCTCCATTTTTCCTGCCTGCCTATTTGTTTCACAATCGGTTCCTGCTGCGTTGGTTCGCTCATTGCTAGAGATCCCTCTCTGTTGCTGATCATTTCTGGCCGGCCATCTGATCTTGAGCGAAGACAACTGTTGATGAAGATATGTAGTTTGTTTGAGATGCTGTTTATGACGCGCAGTGCAAGTCTCTGATCCATCTGTATAGTGAGTAGCACTGACTGACTTCACATTGGAGTTGACAATCTGGATGTTATTTTTGATGCTGAGTTTTGTTGACCTCCACACAAACTTGAGAGTATTGTAAGCTTGTCTTGCTTTCCCGATCCTCGTTGCTTTGATATCCTCGTCAGTTCCGCTGGCCTGTAGTTGAAACGATGATTCCCAGGTAGGTGGGTAGGTGAAGGAGGTTGTTTCTTTCAGGTTCCTCCCATTTATGCTGATCGTTGTCTGTTGTTGTTGCTGTTAGCGTTGTCCAGGAATCTTCATCACCTCTGTTTTCTCTTTGTTCATCTGAAGTCCTATCTTCCCTAGATGATTCTTCTGCCAACTTGTTGCTTTTCACTTGCATACCTTCCAGTTTGTGGGAAATCAGACATATATCATCGGCAAAGTCCACATCCTCCAAGTTTTTTGTGTGAGTTCATTTTATGCCTGTTTCCTCAATGCCCACTGTTTGTCGCATTATCCAGTCTACTGCAATCAGGAAAGTCATTGGCGATAGTAGGCAGCCAGCCAGCTTGTCTTGCTCCTGTCCTCACTTCGAAGGATTCCGTAAGTTTCCCGTTGTGGATTACTTGGCATGCAGCATTGTCGTACAGCTGTTGGATGAGATGTAGTTGTCGAAGCACCTCTGGATGGACGCTGTTGACGGCCTTTTCAAAGTCGATGAAGTTGAGTGAGGTAGAGAGGTGACTGCCATTCCAAGCTTTGTTCAATGATGATCCGCAGTGTAGCGATTCGATCAATACATGACTTGTTTCTCCTAAATCCAGCCTGTTCCGTTCGAAGTTTTTCATCCAGGGCATGTTTGATTCTCTCCAGGATGATGCGGCTTAGTATTTTGCTTAGGATGGGCAGGAGCATAATTCCGCGCCAGTTCTTGCATTGACTTAAGTCTCCTTTCTTTGGAAGTTTGAATAAGTATCCTTTCTTCCAATCCTCGGGTACTTTACCTTCTTTCCACACCTTTTCCATTAGTGGCGTCATCTCGTGACATTGTATTGATCAAAAGCAACGGTTCATTCAGAGTATGATGGTACCAGCGTTTATATTTAGTTGACTTCTCATCATCATTTGCGTACACAGCTTCATGAGATTATCAAGTTTAATGCACAGAACAATTTTACCATACTTGAAAATGATTCAGGATATCTGAAATCCACGAACAATTGCGGAATATATGAAGTTTTAAATCCCAAACGGAGTCACCATGGAAAAGAAGCCTATCTTCATTCAACTTGATTTTAAAGGTAAAACTATTGCAGGGAATAGTCAGAACCTATCCTCTGATCAAGTTGTTTTCTCTGCTTATCGGACAACATGCTCTTTGGTGAAATCAAAAGTCGACAGACACCCTTCTCATGTGAACTCTAACTGTGTATAGAAATTTGCGTGCATCTAGTGCAGGAGTTACATCGGGAGAACAGAAAGAATAGTTCACCTTCAATTTCCAGAAAGTGTAATAAAAAGAAGCCTAAGTCTCAAGGGAACAGACACTTTCACTGGTGCCATTTACAGGAATCTCATCGATACAGGTCATGAGGTGGACATCCTGAAATCCTTTACAATTATCAGTGGACAAAATAGTTCAATTCTCTCTCTGAGTTCAGAGAGAAGCAGTTATCACTCTCTTCCCCTTGACCTAGTAACCGGATGTCTTTACTCTCATTTTATTTGGTCACATGATCTTTGGCTTTAACGTGTTCCCCTTCGCTATGATGTAATCTTGCCAGTCCTTTGTTCCTATGATTCCAGTTGATCTCACCATACTGTTACTCGACTTATTCATTACTCATATATCATCATCATCATCATCTTATCCACCCCTTTTCTTTATCACACAACTCTTTTCCCATTGTATCCAAGTATTTATTTTTCGTTTAAATTCGAACCTTCTGTAATTTCTGCTCACATTTTACTACCTTTGTAGTCGTCTCCTGTCAACTGATATCATCTAGCATTTGCAAGAAGTTCCTTTAAAAAAATGTTCTGTAAATAAACTTAGTATTCTCTTTAAGCTGTACGCAGCTGAAGAGCAGCTGACTAGATAAAGGCTGATACCATCTTATTTTGCAGTAAACGTTGTTTCTACCTTATTCAAAGTTCTGGATAGTTCGTCACGTAGATAGGGTTAGACAATATGCTATTTTTGTTGCATACTCGAGATGTGTAGTAGTAAAATTAACTTCACTTATCGCACAAGAGTGTTGCAGTCATTATAGGAACTTGTACATTGTTGGTACCTGGAAAATGAATGATAAGGATGAATGCATCTGTAGAATCGTGAAAGTTTGAGCCAAGGTACAAATCTCTGCTTATTTCCTTTTCACATGCTAAGTACCTCAACAAACAGTCTACAACGTCTTGCGTATATCTAACCACAAATATGTGGCTTTTAAATTGGGACCTTAACTTGATCTGATCGCTCCGAATGCTAATCCAAGATAGTAGCTTGCTTCATGTAGCATTGATTGTTGAGAAAGGCATTAAGTAGTGGTTTGACACTCGTAACCCATGCCTTGGCGATTCTACTCAATAGGGCTCCCGCCATATGCAAGATGATGTTACAGGATTCGACTACACCGACTCCTAGATTATTAATAGGAAGTGAAGTGGTAGAGCACGTTGACTGCTTCACTTACTACTTGGGAAGTACCATCAGCCCCGACGGGTTGATCTCTGACGAAATCTCAGCACGAATACAGAGGGCTAGTTTCGCATATGCCAGTTTACGCCGTCTCTGGCGTAGACGCGATATCCGACTATCGACCAAAGAGCGTGTGTACTGCTCAGCAGTCCGCTCCGTCCTCCTTTATGGCTGTGAGACCTGGCCATTGAGAGTGGAAGACATGAAAAGGTTGGCTGTCTTCGATCATAGGTGTCTGCGTTCTATCTCCCGTGTGAAGTGGTATAATAAGGTGAGCAATTTTGAGGTTAGGCGTCAAGTGCTAGGGAAGGAGGGGGTGCGTCAGTGGCACAGAGCTTAGGACTCTCGCCGACCATGCACATGGTCCGGGGTTAGATCCCCTGCCGGTGCACACCCGATATCTATGGTCGGCCTGAATTTGGGCTACCGATATCCATGCTGAAAATTCCATACTTGTACTGAAAATACGGTGTGGAATCAAGCTGTAAATCAAAATAAAATAATAATTATATAAAATAAATCAATCAACGAGACTGTGAAATTACGTCGATTGAGATGGTTAGGACATGCGTTACGTATGCCTAGTCATCGCCTTCCTCGACAATGGACAATGTTAGCTGATACAGGGTCAGGCTGGAAAAGAGCTAGCGGCGGTCAAACGAAAACATGGCACCAGTCAATGAAAGACACAATAGTTAGTCTAAGCCAGCCACGTAGGAAGGTGGCTGGTTGGGGTCCTCGGGACGGTAAAAACCAATGGTTGAAAACAATTGGTGATATGGCTCAAAATCGTTCTCAATGGCTGGCGCAGATGCATCCGCTCCTTGTGACTTATGATTTCCAATGAAACTGTTTTGTTCTTCGTTATTACTATTCCTTTGTCTCACACCTCTGTTTACTGTCTCTAATATGCATTTCTCCTACT